TTCCTCTAGATCCCCATGCAAGAATGCGGTCTTTACATCAAGCTGCTCTAACTCGAGATTCAAACTGGCTACTAGACCTAGCACAACTCGAATAGAACTCATTTTCACAACTGGTGAAAAAGTCTCATCAAAGTCAGTACCGTTCTTTTGAGTAAAGCCTTTGACGACCAATCGAGCTTTATATCTCACTAGGTTGCCATCATCTTTCGTCAGTTTGTACACCCATTTGTTCTTGAGTGTTCTCTTCCCTTTTAGAAGTTTCACCAGCTCATATGTATCATTCCTTTTCAAAGAATTCATCTGCTCTTGCATGGCCTTTGTCCAGCAATCTTTATCTTAATCTTTGCAAGAAATTGGCACATTTGGAAGCCTCTAGCTCCCCTCAATTATAAAAATGTAATCAGAACTAGGGTACCTTGTAGATGGTTGGCGTTCTCTGGTTGACCTTCTTAACTGAGGTTCAACTCCTTCTGGTGGAACGGGGTTCTCTGCCTCCCCCTGCTCAATACCCTCTGGATCATTTTATCATCTACAATCGTCTCTTGATCCCCTATGACTGGCTATTCTTCTTCTTCCTGTTCTGATTCTAGCATTCCTCCTCTCATGACATCATCTATAGGAATGCTTCTTAGTGTAATATCAACAACACCATCACTTGTGGACTCTTCACAAGTTGTATCTGCCACGATCTTATTCTCATGGAATACTACGTCTTGGCTCCAGACAACTTTCTTTTTCACTGGGTCCACAACCTATAGCCAAACTCTTCATCTCTATAACCGACAAAAGTGCAAGGAACTGACTTGTCATCAAGCTTTGATCTCTGCTCCTTCAGAACATGCATAAATGCCTTACAGCCAAATACCCTCAGATGAGAGTATGAAATATTTATGCATAAATGCCTTACAGCCAAATACCCTCAGATGAGAGTATGAAATATTTCTACCTGTCCATACCTTCTTCTGGATATCCAAATCCAAAGGTGCTGAAGGTAGTCGGTTGATTAGGTAGACAGCAGTATTGACAGCTTCTCCCCAAAATGACTTAGGTAAGCTGGCCATTTTAAGCATGGATTTGACTCTTTCAACAATTGTGCAATTCATCCGTTTAGCAACACCGTTGTGTTAAGGCGTACCAGGAACTGTCTTTTCATACCTGATACCATGCTAACTAAAATAATCTCTAAACTCCTTAGAGATGTATTCACCACCATTATTCGTGCACAAACACTTTAATGACACTCTAGTCTCCCTTTCCACCATCGCATGGAATTGCTGAAAGTGCTTGAATACTTGATCCTCTGTGCACAACAAATATATCCATGTTTTTCGTGAGAAATCATCAATGAAGGTTAGAAAATATGTACTTGCTCCAAGTGATTCTACCTCCATGGGACCACATACGTCAGAATGTACCAACTCCAACTTGCTGTCTCTTTGTCTAGAGCTTTTCTGAAATGAGACACAATGTTGCTTCCCAAAATAAACAATGATCACAAGGGTTTATTTTACCTTTGGCTAATGGGATGAGAGACTTCTTAGCCAACATATTCAACCCTTTCTCACTAACGTGCATATTCAACCCTTTCTCACTAACGTGCGCCAGCTGCCTATGCCACAATTTTTGGTGAAGCATCATCCTGCAATTGTATTTAGTTGAGACCCGCACATATTGTTTGTGTGCGTCTTATACAGCGAGCAAACATAATTTTCCTCTTGCAGCAACCAAAAAGACCTTTGGTGAGTTTCCAGTTACTGTCACCTGTATGATGGTGATAGCCTTCCTTGTCCAGTACACTGACAGACAACAGGTTCAACCGAAGATTGGGAATATGTCTCGCATTTTTAAGTATTAATGTGCACCCAACACTTATCTTTGTGCAGACATCACCGATTCCCACCATTTCCTAGACATTATTATTTCCCATTTTAATCGTGCCAAAATCTCCTGCTTTATAAGTGGAAAAATATTCCCTTTTTGGAACACAGTGGTATGAAGCACCAAAGTCTACTATCCACTCGGTATCTGCATCTCCAACATGACAGCAATCTGCATTATGAGTGACTAAAGTCACCTCACCATCTTTCGCTGAGACTGTAGCAGATGTATTTCTGTCATTCTCCTGTTTTCGGTTTGCATTATCCTGTTTGAGTAAACGACAATTCCTTTTGAGATGACCCTCCTTGCCACAATGATAACACTTTCTCATTTCTCTGGACTTAGATCTACCACTTGACTTTTCATGCCTTCTACCTCGACTCTTGCTCCGGCCCCTATTCTCTGTGACAAGGGCTTGTGAACTGGTACTCCTATTCTCTGTGAACAAGGGCTTTGTGAACTGGTTAACTTGGAACGTGCTCTCCTTCATAATTCTTCCATTGAGTTAGTCTATTCTTTACCCATATACATTGTTACCACACCGCATTTGGAGCTGAGTTTACTCATTTGGAGCTGAGTTACTCAATGATACCACAAAATTATCCCAACTATCTGGTAGAGATCCCAACAGTAGGCATGCTTGCATTTCGTCATCCAAGGACATACCGCTAACTGCTAACTCAGTTACGAGTCCTTCAAAATCATTCAGGTGTTGTGTAACTAATCGTCCCTTTGATAGCTTCAAGTTCATGACTTTACGAGTCATGAACACTTTTCCTTGAGCATTTGTAGCCTCGTGCATATTCTCTAATTTCTTCTAGAGAATTTGGAGATCTTTTTTATTTCTTACATGGTTGTACGGGCTAGCATCTATCCATTGGCGTATTGTATCCAATGTCTGCTTTTTTATCTTGTCCTATTGCTTTTCTTTCATTTCTTCTAGCTTTGCACTGTCACCTTCAATTGGATTGTATAGATCTTTATAATTGAGGTAGTTCTCCATTCTGGATTTCCACATTGAATAATTTTCGAATCCGTCAATTTGATCATTTCCCCATCGTTAGCCATGTCGAATTCTGAATCTGACAAAATTTTACTTTGTAGAAAAATGACAAAATTTACCAACCAAAGGCTCTGATACCAGTTGTTGGGTCTTAGGTACCACTTACTTCAGCTTTGATACCAGTTGTTATTGGGCATCAACTCTAATACTACTTGTTTGGCCCTCACAAAGAATTAAGAGAAAATCCACGCAGTGGAATAATCAAAATATGACACAGAAACGTACATGATTCACCCTCAACTGTTTAGGGCTACGTCTACGGGACAAACTCTAAATAATTCTTCCACTGTTAAAAATAGTACGTACACAAAGAGAGTAATACAAAAATAGTGACGTACACAAAGAGAGTAATATACAAAAAATAGTTGGCACTGCAAAAAGTGTTTTCCAAAAACACTCCCAAAACAATTTTCTCCCTAATTTTTTCTTTCCTTAATTTTAAGGACATCCCTTTCTAACTAGATATCTCTTCTACATTTTTTTTTTCTTCTTTTTGCTGTGTTTTGCTTGAAGGCTTCGCTACTTCGAAACCCTTTCTAAAACTAGATATCTCTCTACATTTTTTTTTTCTTCCTTTTTGCTGTGTTTTGCTTGAGGCTTCGCTACCTCTATTTATAGGAGATGTTAGCGAATGAGCTGCACATTCACCGCCTAAAAACATAATGCTTTTGTTAAGTTTCTTTGCCAACCTTAGAATTGCTTTGCCAACTTTTGTTATCTTTTTCCTTTTTTTTTTTTCTTCAAAGAACACGTTTTCCTTCTTTTTTTTTTTTTTTAACTGTGTGTGTCCCACATGTCGAAGGTACCTACGACAACGATAGGGTCTACATTAAGTGCGGAAGTTGTCAAACCAGCAGGTTCACACATTTGTGCTTCACACCAATCTCGCAACACACCCTTACCAAGTAATGGTGCAAAACTCCGCACGCCTGTCCTTACCCCAATTCCGCAGAACAAACTCCAACATTGAATGAAGTCAGGAAACCCTTCACTAGGACGCTGCACCCCCATCCGGTTCCACACAGCCATAGCAGTAGGACACTGAAAGAACAGATGGATACCATCTTCTACTTGACCACAGAAAATGCATGATTGATCCAACTCCACCCCCCTTCAGAACCAGCCTACACTTGGTGGGTACCAAATCCCGACCCATTTGCCATAGAAAGACTTTAATCCTGGGCAGGATATGGAGTTCCAAATAGCTCCCCAAATTAGACTTCAGGTGGGGCTTGGGCTTGAGAATACAATGGAAAAGCTATCCTATATGCTGGCTTAACAGTGTACTTTACGTTTTTTGTCCAATGCCAAATAACCAAGTCCTCTATATTCCGAGACCTAAGCGACTTACACAGTATATCAGCTGCATCTAAGGAAAGAAGGCCACGAATCAAGTTTTCATTCCATGTTCTTCTATCGTGATCAATAAGGTCAACAACCTGCAAATCCTCGAACCCATTCAAAATAGGAGAATGAACATAGAACATTATACCCATGTGATAGAAGAGTACTTTTTGGTTGGTTTAAACCCGCCAACCTTGTAGAATAATAAAATTATTAATTTTGATATGTAGAATAATAAAAAGGAAATAAAAAAAATAAAAATTATGCAAGAACATGTGAAAATTTAATTAATAAATCTTAACTTTATCATTTTCAAATTTTTGAAAAGAAACAAAGATAAGTGAATAATTGAAATGTTATTTAATTAAGATAAAATAGCCCTCTAGCTGATTAATAAAGAAAAATTAATAATAATAAAATAATGTTTCTCAAAAATAAAAAAAAAATAACTGAATAAAAATCTAAAAATAATTTCCATGATTGTCATATTAAATCAACTATATTTCAAATAGATTTATTTTAAATATTTAATTTAATGTGGCAATCATTCCAATTATTTTTGAAGTTAGTCAAATATTTTTTTTCTTTTAAGAAAAGCTATTTTATTATTATTAATTTTTCTTTGAGCTAGCTATTTTATTATTATTATTAATTTTTCTTTGAGCTAGCTATTTTGTTATTATTATTATTCAATAAAAATATTTTGCACACCATGTGTCATACACAACCAGAATCTTAACATAAGAAATGTCTACATTTTTCCTATGGTCTTCCTCTTTCTCTCAAAGTGTGAATTACAAAGAAGAGAAACACCTAAATCAAAAAACCCAAGCTTTTCTTCTATCACAGCTCCCAATCTTTTCTTCCAATTACTGAGTGATCCTTAAAATTCAATCTATATCTCTATGTATCTTTCATTATTATGCTGCTAAACAACATCAGAACAAGAGAATTCCTATTTATTTTGAAAAAACTTCCTGGGGTATCCGTATTTTTGGGTCTTTCCCAACACGCGTAGTCCTTGTTAGCATCTCCAACCTGCAACAAAAATCCATAACATCAAAAAGATAAAAAGAAAGATGCTTCTTTAGCCTATTCAAGAAACAGAAAAACAGAGCATAAAACTCCATTCTCTAAAAATCCAAAAGTTAAGAATGCAAACCTCAACGTAAATAGTGTCTGGATGTGCAGTAGCTTAGAGAAGGTGATCAGTAGCCCAACGAATGACTTCTTTTGCGTTCTGCAACCCTCCTTTCATAAGTCCACCAAATTCAATCACACTACATGAAAGCATTGTAGTAGTGAAAGTCATTCTGAAACCAAACTTCATAAGTTATTTGTTATTAGATTTATCCATTATCCCTGTCAACTTGATAAGTTACTTAAATCAATATTGTGTTTTTTATACTTTTTATAAGTTATTTATTATTAGATTTTTTATATAAAAATATATAAATATGTTGATCTGTATTATATTTTTATACACGGTTTTCTCTTAATGAAATTTTCAATTCTAATTTCTTCAAAAAAAATAAAAAAGAAAAAACACCAAAACAAACCTCTATACCTAATTAGTTGTACTTAAATAAAATTCTATTAAAACTAGAATTTTTAAATAAATTATAAATATAAAAAGAGTGTAAACTACTAAAATTAATGAATTCAAACTAGACTAACAAAACAAAATAATTAGAAATAAATTATATAGTCGATCCAAATATAAAAATTTATTAGCAAATAATTTTTCAATAAAATTTATTTACAAATAAAATATATTCTACATCATGTTATTTAAAACAATGTAATGATCAACTGGTCATCCATCAAATGACAGAAACTACTAATCAAAAGAATAAGTTGTGCAAATGGAGTCTCCAATTCCATATAGGCCAAAGCAAAAGGGGTCGAGGTCCAAGTCAATTTTGGAGTTGATGGTCTTCTGTTGACTATAAAACAGAGTTGTCCCTCTGCAATTGATGTGTCTGTGTGTGATTAGGAATAGCGGGTCTATTGAACGAATGATTTCGATTTAATAAAAAGTGATTTAGGGTTCGAATTGAAATGAATCGAGGTTTGAACTAGTCTTTTGAGTTCTTGTTTCGTAAAATAGTTATTTACATCTTGTTTGGAAATTGGAAATAATAGGGGGTCAAAAGAGGTGTAAATTGGGCGTGGGTGTTTATATATTTTTCACTCAGTTGTTTGGTAGGGAGGAAATTGTAAATAACAATTTTATTAATAGAAAGTCAATTGCTTGTTGAATGATAAAATACAAAGTGAGGGGTAGTTTAATAATATAAAACATTTGGAAGAAGGCTCAAGTTGTCATAAATTTGGAAGTGGTACGTAATTTCACTAACGATCAATTTTCATACAATGGACGTTCCAGTGTACACCAAATGAATTACTGACTCAATTTTTGGGAAAAAATAATGAATATTTGGTTTAAATTAAATATAAGTGAAAATAGCTAAACAAAAAATACATCGAATATTTAATATAATCTAATATTTTTTAATTCTAGAATTTTTAAATTAAATATTTTGTTTAATTATTTTTAAATAGAATAAAAGTCAATTTGTCCCCTATATTTATTTAATGGATCAAAAACATCAAATTTGACTTTTTACGCCAATTTAGCCCGTCAACTTGTTTAAAATGATTGAAAAGGTTAAAATTTGATCTTTTAGGCAAATTAAGCTCATGATCTTGTTTTGATGTTCACAAATTTTTGGATTCAATTTAAAAAAAATCCAGATCAAATTTTTCCAACACTTCTAGATAGAAATTTAAAATTTATAAAAGTACCATTTATTTTGATACAGTAAATTTATAAAATATGTAGTATAACTTTAATATGTTCAACATGAAAAATCCATGGATTTCATATATAATAATCTAGTAATAAAGGTAAATTTAAAATGTTCAAATTAATACATTAAATTAAAATCATCAATCAAGGTAAAAAGAGATACGATATACGTTTAGTATCATTTTCCTCTATTTCATATTTACTAATTATTTTAGTAAATTATATAGCAAGATTCCAATTATAGTTTTAATAGATGTGTATACAAGGATTCTAACATTATAAGTGCACCGAAGAATCTAGGGTTAAATTGACTTAAAATATTAAATTGGGATCTTTTTAATCACTTTGAATAAATTTAGGGGTTAAATTAGTCTAAAAGGTTAAATCTGACTTTTTTGATCCCACTCAATAAATTCAAGGGTGAAATTCTGTGACATCCTACTGAATCGAGTTGTTGCATTTAGCGAGTCGAGTCGAGTCGAAACGAACCAGAACCCGGTTCGAGCCATAAGGTTAAATCTGAACTTTTTTGATCCCACTCAAATAAATTCCAAGGGTGAAATTCTGTGAACATTCCTAACTGAATCGAGTTGTTGCATTTAGCGAGTCGAGTTCGAGTCGAAACGAACGCAGAACCCGGGTTGGAGCCATAAAAATTAAATAAATAAAAGAATTGGACTTAATTGAATGAAACATAAAGATGTAGACTCAATTGAAATAAAAGTATAAAGATTATGACCTAATTGAAATAAAGTATAAAGTTTAGGAATTAAATGGTAAAATATTGAAAATTTAGGTACTATTTGGTAATTTTTTTAACAAACTAGAAGATATATTTAGAGGTTACCCGAAAATTCCATTCACTTTACCATCTCCATCTTCTCCTTTGTCTTCTTCCTTCACTTTACCTTCCCCATCTTCTCCTAAATCTTCCTCCATTTTCTACCTTAATATTCAGCCTTTCAAGCATTAAATTCAACCTATAACTCTATCCAAGTAAGTTGAATTTCTTTGTTAAAGTGTGAATTTCTTGAAAATAATCATAATTTAGTGAGATTTTGGATGATTAATAAGATGTTATTTTGCATAAGAGAGGTGAGCTCAAAGTAGAAGAAAAAGGAAGCTAAGAAAAGGTGTTAAAGATTTTTGGAAGAAGTTTAAAGATTTTGGTTGAAGGTTTGGATATCTTCTTTTAGTTTAACAAAAGTTTCTTATGGCATGAGGACGTATGTGTAGTGTGATGATAGTGATAAGATATGGTTGCTGAATGTTGAGTAATAGTCTGAGAATGTTCATTTAGCATGGGATGCATTGAATAAAATGAATTGGATATGATTTCATGCTGAAACAGGTTTGTTGGAAAACTGACCAGTAACTTCAACCTGAATTTGAACCTGTTTACTGATGGAATTAGGAAGTGGTATAGAAGAATTATTTGTTCCTTTATGTTTTATCTGTCTATGAGCTGTGGAATCACCTAAATTGGACTTATAAATTGAAAGATATGCCCAAAATAGTACAAACTGTGCAGGCTAGAAATCAAAACCTGGGCGGACTGAAAGGTGCTATTTTAGCTCAATATTTGACTACTTTAACAACATATTTCAGAGAGGTCATGGAAGAAATATTTGTACCCCAATGTGTTAGCTAACCATAGAATTTATAATCACCTAAATTGGCCTTATAAATTGAGAGATATGACCAAAAGGGTACAAACTGTGTAGGCTGGAAACCAACAGCTGGGCAGACTGGAAGTTGCTACTTTCATTTAATATTTGACTACTTTATCAACATATTTCAAAGAGGTCATGGAAGACATATTTGTACCCTAATGGATTAGCGAACCATATAATTTAGAATCACCTAAATTGGCCTTATAAATTGAGAGATATGACCAAAATGGTACAAACTGTGCAGGCTAGAAACCAACAGCTGGGCACAGCTGGGCAGACTGGGAAGTTGTACTTTCATTTCACTATTTGGACTGACTTTACCGAATCATTATTTCGAGAGGGTGAATAGAAGACAATATTGTCCCTACCCTAATGTGTTAGCTAACCATAGACTTTAGAATGACCTAAATTGGACTTAACAAGAAAGAGTTATGCTAGAATTTGTGAAACATGTACAGGCTGCCCTGGCAGATTTTAAGACTACATTAGAAATGATGTTGGAATGCATATGCAGATTCATTCAGCCTAAGATTAGTACTTAAATTAAAATCAAAAATTTCCTTAATCTAAATGGTCTAAATTAAGTTACATAAAGATTAGTAAGCGTTGTGTCGCGGGTGCAACAGTTAGATTAATTTCATGCAAGTTCCTTTACAAGTTATCAATTGTTTGCATTATTACTAATTCGATATTACTTGTATTTGTCTATGAAATCCTTTTAAAGCATGAAACAGGTTAGCGACGTATAGCATGAGACAGCATACAGGTAAACAATATGGTTTATGCATTTTATGAATCATACCGATAATATGCTCCATTGAGGTTAGGTAAAAACCACATAGATAAAGCTATGTCGCGACATAGGATAGCAGATCTGCGTCCCATACAGTTAGCAGATCTGGCGTCCATACAGTTTGCTACTCCGGTACAGGCCGTCTGAATGGATATGATTTTATCGGGTCATAGCAACCAGCCATACAGTATTCAGTCTAGTTTCATTACAGTCCTTCTGTCCTTCTTATCACTTCGGTTTCACTGTAACCTTATGGAACCATACAGTTATGAAATTGTGTTATTTATAAATTATACGATGTTTAATAAAAATTGCATAATTCATACAGCATAACGAACAGCAGGTAAGACCATGAAAGTATAATGATATGTGTGCTTACATGCTTTTTTATTTAATTCTTATTAAGTTGAGATATCTACTAAGCTTTATTTGCTCAGCGAGTTACCTGTTTTAACTCGCAGGTTTTGAGTCTGGACCATAGAGAGTCATCTTTACAACTGATGTAGTTCATCTTTTGAAGACCCAGTCTTCAAAGTAACTACTCATTTTGATATTTTGGTTCTGTGGCATGTACAGGGCACATAGTTGGGTTAATTTCATTTTGAAAAATAGTTTAATGTCTTGTATATATTAAATAAATATCTATATATAAATGATGTATAAAGCAACAACATGACATAATATTTAGCATACAGGATGATATCAGCATGACAGGACATAAGTTTAACCAGATTGTCAGTTTGTAGCTGTCAACTCGATGACTATTGATGTATAAAGCAACAACATGACATAATATTTAGCATACAGGATGATATCAGCATGACAGGACATAAGTTTAACCAGATTGTAGCGTCTTGGCTCGGTTTATTCGGGTTCACGGGTGGACCGGGAAGGGTACAAATTCACCTTTATTCTATTTTTAAATCAAAGAGATGGTATAATTCTATTTTGTTTTATATTATTTTGTCCTTTTAAATAATTCTTTTTCTTTCCTAATTTTTAAACTTTTTAAATAATTTTCATCAATTAAAAATAAAGAAATTATTATTTAATTTTTTTTAAAAAATCAGCATGTTTATTCATGTGATGCGGTTGAAAAATTATATAAAAAGCTAATTTTTAATAATATTGTATATTGCACTGAAATTTGGATTTAACTCTATTATTGTTTATTTAATTTTAACTCCAATTTTGAGTTAGTTAAGCCAAGTCTAATTTGTTTTCTAATTAATATGAAGTATGAGAAGTTATCGGTTCAAATCTTCTCGATAAGAGTTTTCACCGATTTAATGCATAGCGTGTCAAAGTCGATATCAGAAAACAAAATCAAATACAGAGAGAAGAAGAAGAACGAAAAGTTCATGCCTACTGTTGAAATAACAACCAGAAAAGCCATTGAAACAAGAAGAAGAAAGTCTAACTGATATTTTTAAATTAAAATCTAACATATACAGTACCCAAGTTATAATTTCCTCTCTTCCAATTCGAAATAAGTGCACCCCTTTCACTTTCACCCCTATCTAAAAAAGTGAGCGTTTGATGGATTGTGCTCCGCACTGGGCAGTGAGACACATTTTGATGAATTCAATTTATTTCTATTATAATAGGAAAAAAAATCGAATTTTCATTTTAATTCAGTTTTTAAAAAATTCTAAAAACTAAATTAATTTAATTCAAAAATAAATCAAAATCAAAAAATTGGATCAATTGTTATAATTCGATTTTATTGTACATATAATTCTTTTTTTTTTTCTAATTGAAAATTTATTGATCAAAAAATTGGATCAATTGTTATAATTCGATTTTATTGTACATATAATTCTTTTTTTTTTTCTAATTGAAAATTTATTGATTTGCACTAGAGAATTTTGATTTGAATCGAACCTAATCAATGGTGAGCATTACTTTATGATTTGTTATGACGTAAGAGACTATGTAATGAGGAGGAGATTGTCTTCAATTTTGCTTTCATTCAATATCTTATCTTGCTCTTCACATGAATATTTTGTGGTCCTCGTTATTACCTTCAATATCATTAATTCCAAAAACGAAGGTACCATATTTTTCATTTAGCTAACACATAATGACTGAAATAAGGGGAAAAATTTAAAGAAAAAAAATTAAATTAAACTATCCATTACCGTATTAATTGTTTGAATCTCACACATAGATATAATGGGTTAAATTTAGAACAATGAGGAAGGAATTCATTTAAGAAATAAGAATAAATTCAAAATTAAGCATCAAAGATAGTTAAATAAAGAGTGATCTAGTGCACCAAACATTCTATAAACTAAGGGCTTTAAAGAGAGTTGATGTATGCAGTTTTTCTCTGCTTTTGCAAAGATATTATTTTTTGGTTCAGATCCAGAATCTTTAATGTTTTAAGTAGAATAACTCCACTTTTACCTAAAGTCACGCTCTTTATATAAGATATAGTTTTATCAATGGGTTGATCTGAATAAGATTCAAATTTCTTCAGTAAAATGTCGAACATTTTATTTTTATGGATGGAGAAAATCTCCGCTGAGAATACTTTTCCTTCAAGGGCCTACCGAGATCTGAACAAAATTATTCTAATAAGTATGGATAGGAAAGAAAAAGGTAGTTTCCTGGGAAGAGTCTTCATCGTTGAAATATTATCCATTATAAACTTCTCCTCATCCGGTTAATTAAACTATCAAACTCAAGAAGATTGAATCCAAGTATTTTCCCTACAACATATTTTCTTATAAGCATTGAAAAATAAAGCAGTTCTTCAACTTTCATCATTCTATTTTTCCTGTAAAAGATTCAAATCTCGTGCTCTTATTAGAATATCCATATGGGTAGTATGGATCAGAATCAACTACACATTTTTTTCTTCCCCTTCATGGCTCATGGCCACATGATACCAACAGTAGATATGGCAAAGCTATTTGCTTTTCGAGGCCATAAAGCAACAATAATCACTACTCCTTCAAATGAACCTCTCATCTCCAAAACAATCCAACGAACAAAAGATATGGGTTTTGATATCAATATTCAAATCCTCAAATTTCCTTCAGTGGAAGTTGGATTACCAGAAGGATGTGATAACATAGATTTTGTTCTTTCATTGGTTGAGAATGGTATGGAAATGATAATTAAATTTTGGTTAGCCACAGGTAAGCTTCAAGAACCTCTTGAAAAGCTCCTTCAAGAATGCAATCCTAATTGTCTTGTTGCTGATATGTTCTTTCCTTGGACTACTGATGCTGCTGCAAAATTTGGAATTCCGAGATTAGTGTTTCATGGCACTAGTTTCTTTTCTTTGTGCGCCGGAGAATCTATTAGGCTATATCAGCCACACAAGAAAGTTTCCACAGATTCGGAGTCCTTTGTCATTCCAGGTCTTCCAGGAGAAATAAAGATAACAAGAAAACAACTCCCCAGTTTCGTTAGAGAAGAAGTTCAAAATGATTTTACTAAGATTGTTAAAGAATCTAAAGAGTCAGAGTTGAAGAGCTTTGGAGTAGTTGTAAACAGTTTCTACGAGCTCGAGCAAGCTTATGCTGATCACTACAGGAATGTTTTGGGCAGAAAGGCATGGCATATAGGCCCAGTCTCGATATGCAATAGAGGAATGGAAGATAAAACACAAAGAGGAAAAGAAGCTTCGATTGATGAACATGAGTGTTTGAAATGGCTAAATTCCAAGAAACCGAATTCTGTTATTTACTTATGTTTTGGAAGTGTAACTAATTTCACCGACTCTCAACTTAAGGAAATTGCAATAGCTCTGGAAGCTGCTGGACAAAAGTTCATTTGGGTAGTTCGGAGAAACAAGAATAGTGAAGAAAATGAAGAAGAATGGTTGCCTGAAGGTTTTGAGAAGAAAATGGAAGGGAAAGGACTTATCATAAGAGGGTGGGCACCACAAGTGTTGATTCTTGAACATGAAGCAGTTGGAGGATTTGTGACTCATTGTGGATGGAATTCAACACTTGAGGGTGTGAGTGCAGGGAAGGCAATGGTAACATGGCCTGTGGGAGCTGAGCAATTCTATAATGAGAAATTAATGACTGAGGTTCTGAGAATTGGGATTGGTGTTGGCGCTAAGGAATGGGTTGGGTTCCATGGGGATTATGTTAAAAGTGAAGCTATAGAGAAGGCAATTAGTAGAGTTATGGAAGGTGAAGAAGCAGAGGAAATGAGAAGCAGAGCAAGGAGGCTTGGAGAGATGGCGAGACAAGTTGTTGAAGAAGGTGGATCTTCTTACTCTGATTTCAATGCTTTAGTTCAAGAGTTGAGGTATTATGGTCCATGAAGAATTAAAGAGAACAAGGGAACAAAATTAAGAGCAATTAGTAGAGTTATGGAAGGTGAAGAAGCAGAGGAAATGAGAAGCAGAGCAAGGAGGCTTGGAGAGATGGCGAGACAAGTTGTTGAAGAAGGTGGATCTTCTTACTCTGATTTCAATGCTTTAGTTCAAGAGTTGAGGTATTATGGTCCATGAAGAATTAAAGAGAACAAGGGAACAAAATTAAGATTATGCGACTATTTCAATTCAGTTCTTCTCTTTCAGTTACATATGTGCGTAGGAACGCCAATAAATGTTTGTTTTAGCTCACTGTATGGCTAGATTAGTTGCTTTTATTGAAGAAATGTTTGTTTTAGCGCTTTGATTTACAACTGTTAATTATTCTGTATTTAATTATTTAAAAGTATTTAACCCGAATAGGGTAGCTCAGTTTCAAAGAGCATTTGCGAGGTTGATTGTCATTGCTTAAGTAATGGGTTCTATCCTCCGCAATGTAAACTCCCCTGAGCCAACTCTTTTGCCTCCGAATTGAGTGAAGATTAGTCGGATTTGTGGATCGTTAAAACGAATACGGGCCTGAATACACCCTGCGAGTATTAAAAAAAATTTATTTAAAACTATTTAGTTGAAGTAACTTTCTGTATAATTTATCCTGGAACTGGAACTTCCACAAAATCCCAATTTTTTACCTAAAAAATAAAATATTTGATGAAAATCAAATATAATTAAAAATAATAAGCATTTTTCAACCTAATAAATATTTTTCTAATTCTATAATTTTTTAAATCAAATATTTTGTTTAATTACTTTTAAACCAAACATATAATATTTTATTACTCGAAAAAATTAAATACTGTACTTTTTGATAGCAATTGTATATATTTTTTAAATAATTTGTTTTCCTAATTTTGAACTTTTTAAATAATTTTTATAAAAAAGGCAATTTTTTTCTTCTACAGCAAGTTTAAGGGTAAATTGTACAAAAAGATAATTTTGGACAAATTGTACATTACTTCCAAGTTCAATGAATAAAATGAATTTTATTCCTTCAGTTTTAAACTAATGCCCTATTATGGAAGTTTCGTTATATTTTAATTAAAAATTATAATTCTGTTGTAGAAATTAAATTTTTAAATTAATATCCGATAATGGAAGTCTTATCATATGTTAGAATTATAATTCTATTATAGAAATTAAAATTTTAAATTAATGTCTTATTCGTAAAGTTTTGTCATGTTAGGAATTATAATCCTATTATACAAGTTGTCATACTAGGAATTACAATTTTATTGTAGATATTTTTATCATATCTTAATTAGAAATTATATATATATTGTATATCATCAAACTTTAGTAAATATTTCATTTAACTATTAACTTTTTGCAATTTTATTTATATTTTGTTAATTATTGCGTTCAATTGATTTTTTACTAGGAATTAGAATAATAATGAACACCATTCTTGATAAAATAATAAAATATTATAAATCAAATTATATAATACGTGTAATGCACGTTCATAAATACTAGTATAAAAGAATGCATAAATCCAGCGTTGTATTTTTAATAAGTTCAAAACTCTAAAATTTTTCACTTATGTTATATTTGGGAAGGAAAGGAAGGAAAACAATGGAGGATTGTACTATTCATTTTCCCTCCTTATTTTCCACCTTGTGTTTGGAATGGAAGGAAAATAAAGGAAGGATTATTTTTATTTGTTGGAAAGACTGAAATCATGGAGGAAAGAAAATGATATTATTGCAAAGTTACAATTTTACCATTTATGCATATGTAATATAAATATTATTCTAATAAAATTAATAATTCCAACTTCTCCATTTAGTATTTATCATAGTTGGTGTACTTACTCATTACATTTAATATTTTAGAACATATAAAATAAATGCATTAGAACACAATGTTTAATTATATAATGCATTTCTAAGTCAAAATTAATAGATAAAAATTAATTTCTTCTAAAAAAACATAAAAATTGGTTAAGAGATTAAAAGTAAAATAATTGCTTAATATCTCTAAAAACAAACGAGTATGATAAAGCGAAAAGTTTTTATCTCTATTAATAAATTGTAATAAATCAATATATATAATAGTCAACAAAAAGAGAAAAAGGAATTCATTTACAGTAATTAATAAAAATTATATGTTTACATACATTTCACATAATCCTCATTGTCGCCAAAAAATATAATATATGTTTATATTAAAAGAAATATTATTTTCTTAGGCTCAAAAAAGTCTAAAAAAATTAGTTTGAGTTTATTAAACTAACTATTTATATTAATCTAAATAAATAAACTCATTGTAGAGGTAGCAACGAGAGTTTTTAATTTTTCTCTTATTTTTTCTCTAGGGTTTATTTCTTATATAGGTAACAATACATTCTTTAATTATTTTCACCAAATTTTTATTTTTTATCATTTATTTTTTAATTTTTTTCAAATAATTACATTAAAATCTTTAAAACTATTTTGTCATCTCTAAATTTAATAAGAGTTACTTGGTTATCCCAGTGTTTCCCTTTCATATTCCTACTTTTATATATATCACTATTATTATACATTAAAATTCCTATTTTAAATACAAATAGAAACTCTTTAATTAATATAATAAGAATATCCAAGTGAATAATTATTAAAATATATATTTGAATTTCGAATGCAATTTTTATTCACTAATATTATGAATTTCTAATACAATGAAATTACTAAATAAAAATTATATTATGAATTCAATATAAAAAAAATAAATATATATTAAAATTAAAAGATTACTAAAATGAAAAGATTATATTTACTGAATTCAATATAAAAAAATAAATATATATTAAAATTAAAAAATTACAAATTGAAATACTGTCTAAATAGGAGTAAATGTGATTGGATCCCAATATATACTTTATAATATTTAATCAAATAATATATAATATGTAATATATCAATATATGTCCTATTTTTTTTTATTGGTGTGGTGGTGTGTAATTATATTTATATTAAATTTTTTATTATTAATGCAAACACTAAGGGATATTAATAACATGATACGTGATTGAAAAATTTCTACATTATTCATATTCAGCGATGTGTATATATATATATATATATAATAATAAATATATATAAATAATAAAATTTATTCTATTAATTGTAAATGAAGAAGTTAATAGTATATTTAGCGCAAGAAGAAGACATAGTTACAAACTCAATAATTTCAAATTAGCAAAAACTTGATATAATAATTTTTTATAGTCAAAAGCAACAAACAAAGACAATAAATTTTTTATAGTGAAAAGCAATTAAAATTATATATATATATATATAGTTTTATAGGTTGTCAATATGAATCACTACAAAAAAAAAAAACGTGCTTTTGCGATCGATTTTTGCGTTCGACGCATATCAGTTGCAATATTGCGATGATATTGCGACCAATTGCGATGATTGGGAGGTTGAATATCCACCGACGGATTTGCAACCAAACGACGACACATTTTGCAACGGATTTGCGACCGATATAATATCCGTCGCTAATTCTAGAGCTAGTAATTTCCACTAGTTTGGTTTTCATTTTACGACCCCATTGCGACAGATTCTGCGACGGATTTGCGACCGTTTAAAAGCCTGTCGCAAAATTGCGCGTTGCAGTTCAGCGCCAAATTTAGTTTTCGTTCTACGATCGATTTGTGATCGATTTGCGACTGATTTGTGACCAACACTCTTGCGACCAATTGTATTGGTCGCAAGTCGGTCACAATTTTTCTGACCACAAAACGACATCACATGATCAAATGGGTATATACAATGAAGTTAAAGCCTAATGGAAGTATTGATCACTTTAAGGTAAGGCTAGTTACTAAAGGTTTCACTCATAAAGTTTTGCTACTAAGAGTTTGTAGCAAAACTCAACACTGTAAGAATTCTAATCTCTGTTGCTGTTCATAAGGATTGGATTTTGAAACAGTTTGATGTTAAGAATGCTTTCCTGAATGGAGAATGGAGAATTAGAGGAGGAAGTTTATATGGCTTATCGACTTGGTGTAAATGAAAAACTTAACCAAGAAGGCAAAGTTTTTAGGCTTAAGAAATCTCTTTATGGCATGAAACAATCTCCTAGGGCATGGTTTGAAAAATTTAGCGGTGAAATGAAGTCTGTTGGTTATAAACAAAGTAATCATGATCATACTATGTTTTTAAAATGGAGAGATGGAAAGATTATTGTATTACTTATTTATGTTGATGACATGATAGTAACAGGAGGTGATGTTGAAGAAATTAGAAAGCTACAACAATTCCTAGGGAAAACTTTTGATATGAAAGACTTAGGAAATTTGAAATATTTTCTAGGAATTAAAGTGGCTAGATCGAAAAAGGGAATTTTCTATGTCAACGGAAACATGTGTTAGATATATTAATTGAAATAGGTATGCTAGACTGTAAGCCAGCCGAAACACCAGTGGAAGTAAATAGCCATTTTGAAGGTGGATCAAATGAGAGATATGATGATGTGGGGCGAGATCAAAGGCTAGTAGGGAGATTGATTTACTTAACACACACTAGGCTTGATATTACTTTTGCAGTTAGTAAGGTCAGCCAATATATGCATGAACCACTTGAAAAGTATATGGAGGCTGTGTTTCAAATTTTGAGGTATTTGAAAGGATCTCCAACAAAGGGGATTTTATTTAAAGATAATGGAAACTTGGATATTTCATGTTTTACTGATGCAGATTGGGTAGGAGATAGAGATACTAGGCGTTCTACCTCAAGGCATCTTACTATGATTGGTAGAAACTTAGTATCTTGAAAAAAGTAAGAAACAAAAAGTTATTGCAAGATCAAGTGCAGAAGCAGAATTCAAGTCAGTATGCCAAGGACTGTGTGAACTGATTTGGACAAAAGAAATCATGAAAGATTTGGGGTTCGATTCAACTAAACCGATGGACTTAATGTGTGATAATCGAGCTACAATCTAAATTGCAAAAAATCCAGTTTAGCATGATAGAACAAGCACATAGAAATTGATAGATACTTTATTAGAGAGAAGATTGATCAAAGATTGGTCCAATTTGTATTCATTAAGTCAGAAGACCAACTTGAAGACGTGTTAACCAAAGCAATTAATGGAAGAAGTCATCATTCTGCATGTAGAAAATTGTGCATGTTCGATATCCATACTAAAATTGAGGGGAAGTGTTAGCCAGAACGATTTTACCATGTGATGATATTAGAATTAGTTTGTTTTAGATGATAATTATCATTGTAACATATTTATCTTTATCACTTTGTTAGAGTTAGAGATAAAGTCAAAGTAGTTAGGGAGTTAATAAGTACCTATGTACCTGTACGTATGAAATGATGAGATGAGAATATTTTCCTCTACAATGTCTCTCTAAGTTTTCCAGACCAACCTGCAACAAAAATCCATAACATTAAAAAGATAAAAGAAAGATACTTCTTTAGCCTATTCACGAAACAAAAACAGAGCATAAAACTCCATTCTCTAAAAATCCAAAATTTAAGAATGCAAACCTGAGTGTAAATAGTGTATGGATGTGCAGTAGCTTTGAGAAGGTAATCAGTAACCCAATGAATGACTTCTTTAGCGTTCTGCAACCCTCCTTTCATAAGCCCACCAAATTCAATCACACTACATGAAAACATTATAGTAGTGAAAGTCATTGGGAAACCAAACTTCACATTGTCCCTACATTATAGTACCTTCCTACCAAATCCACTTGCATTTTCATTTCCAAACCCAAATCAACTATACCCAAAAAGAAAAAGGAAAAGAAACATAAAAAAGAGAGATTTCAAGTTAATGTATATACATGCATGGCTGAGCCATTTGAAAGACTAGAGTTTCAACTCCAAGTCATCCTCTGGTTTGAAGGAAGCTTGCCTGACCTCTAACCCTCAAAAAAGAGGATTGATTTGGTGAGAGTATCTTTATAATGGTGACTGGCAAAACGAGGGTGGTGGCGGTAGTGAACTGGGTTGTGCTGATGGATAGGGAACCCATGGTAGCGAAACAAAGAAGAAAAGAGGAGGAAGAGAAGAAGTAGTGTGAAATGGGAAAGAGAGAAGAAGAAGTATTGTTACTGTTCCGACAATAACAATGACAACAAGATCATCGTTTCCAAGTCCCTGAAGTAACGGCGCCGCCATTAATGGCGGTCTATTAGTCACTATCTTTTTCTCCTCTTCCTGGCTGCCTATTTCACCAATTTAATTCTCCACCCACAGAGAAGTTCTCGAAAGATCTTTAAACATTGTTAAGGGCATTGTGGATATTCTATCTATAGAGATTCTAATTGAATCAGGCTCAACTTGAGCCATTTAGCACTACTTTGTATTATTATCCTATTCAATTATTCGCTACATTTTTATTTCTTTATAAAGAATAGGAATGTTGGAGTATCAATTAAATTTTTGCAACATTTTTCTTGCATGATTTATAATTACTTGTTTAGTTTTTTTCCTTATTATTTTTCTAACTATCAAAATTAAAAAGGAGAAAATTTGAAAGTGATCAAATTGGACTTATAGAAAGATTATGGAGTCGAACAATAAGCATAAATTACCACCAACTAAAGCAAGCAATCGCATATAACATATGTATTATCCTTGTCAACTCAATAAGATACTTGAAATTAATATTGTGCTTTTTATACTTTTTATAAGTGATTTATTATTAGATTTTTTATATAAAAATATGCAAACATGTTGATCTGTATTCTATTTTTATACACCGTTTCCTTTTAATGAAATTATCAATTCTAATTTCGTCTAAAAAAATAAAAAAGAAAAAGCACCAAAATGAACCTCTATATGTAATTAGTTATACTTAAATAAAATTCTATTAAAACTAATAGAATTTTTAAATAAATTATAAATATAAAAAGAGTGTAAAAACTACTAAAATTAATGAATTCAAACTAGACTAACAAAACAAAATAATTAGAAATAAATTATACAGTGGATCCAAATATAAAAATTTATTGGCAAATAATTTTTCAATAAAATTTATTTATAAATATAATGTATTCTACATCAATTTATTTAAAACAATTGGTCATCTATCAAATGACAGAAACTAGCAATCAAAAGTATAAATTGTGCAAATGGAGTCTCCAATTCCATATAGGCAAAGCAAAAGGGGTCGAAGTCCAAATCAATTTTGGAATTAGTGGTCTTCTGTTGACTATAAAACAGAGTTGTCTCTTTGCAATTGACATGTCTGTGTGTGATTAGGAATGGCGGGTCCATTGAACGAATGATTTCGATTTAATAAAAAGTGGTTTGGGAATCGGTTTTAAATGAGTGGAGGTTTGAACTAGTCTTTTGAAGTTCTTATTTCATAAAATAGTTATTTCCAACTTGTTTGGAAATTGGAAATAATAGGGGGTCAAAAGAGGTGTAAGTTGGGTGTGGGTGTTTATATATTTTTCACTCAGTTGTTTGGTTGGGAGGAAACAATGAGAGGGAGGAAATTGTAAATAAAATTTATTAATAGAAAGTCAATTGCTTCTTGAATGATAAATTACAAAGTGAGGGGTAGTTTAATAATATAAAAAATTTGGAAGAAGGCCCAAGTTGTCATAAATTTGGAAGTGGTACGTAATCTGACTCACAATCAATTTTTCATACAATGGACGTTCCAGTGTACACCAAAGGAATTACAGACTGAATTTTTGGGAAAAAAATAATGAATATTTGGTTTAAATTAAATATAATTGAAAATAGCTAAACAAAAAATACGTCGAATATTTAATATAATCTAATATTTTTTAATTCTAGAATTTTTAAATTAAATATTTTATTTAATTATTTTTAAACAGAATAAAGGTTAATTTGGCCACAAATTTGTATAGCGGATCAAAAATATCAAATTTGACTTCTTAGACTAATTTACCCCGTGAACTTATTTAACATGATTAAAAATGTTAAGTTTGATCTTTTAGGCCAATTAAACTCATGATTTTATTTTGATATTCACAAATTTTTGGATTCAATTTTACAAAAAAAAACCAGATCAAACTTTTCCAACACTTCTAGATAGAAATTTAAAATTTATAAAAGCACCATATCTTTTGATACAATAAATTTATAAAATATGTAGTATAACTTTAATCTATTCAACATGAAAAATCCATAGATTTCATATGTAATAATCCAGTAATAAAGGTAAATTTAAAATGTTCAAATTAATACATTAAATTAAAATCATCAATCAAGGTATACGTTACGTATCATTTTCCTCTATTTCACATTTACTTAATTATTTTAATAAATTATATAGCAATATTCCAATTATAGTTCTAATATATGTGTATACAAGGATTCTAATATTATATTAAATTGTGATCTTTTTAATCACTTTGAATAAATTCAGGGGGTTAAATTAGTCTAAAAGGTTAAATCTGACTTCTTTGATCCCACTCAATGAATTCAAGAGTGAAATTCACCTTTATTCTATTTTTAAATCAAAGAGATGGTATAATTCAATTTTGTTTTATATTATTTTGTCCTTTTAAATAATTCTTTTTCTTTACTAATTTTTAAACTTTTTAAATAATTTTCATCAATTAAAAATAAAGAAATTATTATTTGATTTTTTAAAAAAAAATCAGCATGTTTATTCATGTAATGCGGTTGAAAAATTATATAAAAAGCTAATTTTTAAGAATATTGTACATAAATTTGGATTGAACTCTATTATTGTTTATTTAATCTTAACTCCAAGTTTGAGTTGGTTAAGCCAAGTCTAATTTGTTTTCTAATTAATATGAAGTGTGAGAAGTTATCCGTTCGAATCTTCTTGATAAGAGTTTTCACCGATTTAATCCATATCGAGTTAAAGTGAATATCAGAAAACAAAATCAAATACAGAGAGAAAAAGAAGAACGAAAAGTTCATGCGTACTGTTGAAACAACAACCAGAAAAGCCATTGAAACAAGAAGAAGAAAGTCTAACTGATATTTTTTAATTAAAATCTAACATATACAGTACCCAAGTTATAATTTCCTCTCTTCCAATTCGAAATAAGTGCACCCCTTTCACTTTCACCCCTATCTAAAAAAGTGAGCGTTTGATGGATTGTGCTCCGCACTGGGCAGTGAGGCACATTTTGATGGTCGACAATAATCAGTAAAATTGATTAAATCATTGATGAATTCGATTTATTTCTATTGTAATAGGAAAAAAAATCGAATTTTCATTTTAATTCAGTTTTTAAAAAATTCTAAAAACTAAATTAACTTAATTCAAAAATAAATCAAGATCAAAAAATTGGATCAATTGTTATAATTCGATTTTATTGTACATATAATTCTTTTTTTTTTTAAAAAAAATCGAAATTTTCATTTTAAATTCAGTTTTTAAAAAATTCGCTAAATTTTTAAAAAATTCTAAAAACTAAATTAACTTAATTCAAAAATAAATCAAGATCAAAAAATTGGATCAATTGTTATAATTCGATTTTATTGTACATATAATTCTTTTTTTTTTTTCTAATTGAAAATTTATTGATTTGCACTAGAGAATTTTGATTTGAATCGAACCTAATCAATGGGTTAAATTTAGCTAACACATAATTCAATTTTGCTTTCATTCAATATGTTATCTTGCTTTTCACATGAATATTTTGTGGTCCTCGTTGTTACCTTCAACATCATTAATTGCAAAAACGAAGGTAACATATTTTTCATTTAGCTAACACATAATGACTGAAAAAAGGGGAAAAATTTAAAAAGAAATGTCAATGAGCCAAAAAAAAAAAATTTAAAGAAAAAAAATTAAATTAA